TATATATATATATATATATATATATATATATATGCATTCATTCAAATACACAAATGCACACCTAATAGTCTCAATGCACGTGGGCTTGGGGTTATTGCGGATGTCTGTCGAATATGCATGAGAGCACACTTACTTGGCGAGGAGTTCTCTCCTGTACATTTCAGCGTCGAACTCCAGTGCAGCAGAAGCGGTGAGTGGTCCTTGTGCTGCTGCTCCAGGGGTCTCTTCAAGCACAGGAGAAGAGGAGGAGACCTCAGGAGCAGCAAGCATTGCCCGACATGCTGCAGTAGCTTCTTCAAAAAGTGGCAGTGCGCTGTTGCTGCTGCCTCCTGCTCCCTCTCGACCAGCCTCCCCCTGCTGCTGCTGCCGATGCTGAGACTGGTCCGTTTCCTTTGGCCGCAATGCTTCCCTCGCACGGTGTAATGCCAGCAACGAGTTCAGCTGCAGCTGCAGATTTGTTTTGCCCTCCGGTGTCAGCGCGGCCAAAGACGGCCGAGAGGGACCATGAGCCGTCTTTAGTCTTGGTAAGAACACGACATGCACAGAAAACAGGGAGCGCAATGCCGGCATGCCCTCAGCAGGAAGTTGTTGATGATTATGATGGTTAGCTGGTTCGTCCACCCCCAACTCGCGCGCGGCTGCTCTCCATTCTGTCTCCAATAAGCGCAGGGCTGCATGGGCTGCGGCGACACGGAGAGCCTCCAGTGCTGCGTCTGCCGTTGCTGCTGTTGGTGGTATGGCTGTGTCTTCATTTGACATTCTCTGGGGTGTGTGGTCGATGTGAAAGGGGTCGCTGAGCAGCAACACTAGAGGCTTCGTCCTATTTGCTGCTGCTGCGATAGACAGAGATGTGGCAGGTAGACCCTTTTGTTGTTGCTTCTGCTGCTGCAATGTGCGCAGTTGCAGCTGAAGTTGCAGTGCGTTGAAGAGGAGAGGCAGAGGCTGCTGCTGCGGCAGCAACGACCTCGGGCCCTCCAGGTCCCCTAGGGAGAGCGGCAGCAGCAGCAGATCGCCGCATGCAGCAGCCGCTCCTGCTATTGCTGTCCTCTCCAGGGCTTCGGCGTCTGTTTGGCGGTTCCAGCCCCCCGGTACCGCAGGCAGGTGAAGCACGATGGGTTCTTTCTCATCTGCTGCTATGGGTGCTTTCTCAGCTGCTGCTACCGTTGCTGTTTTGGTTGGTGTTTGACTGTGCTCAGTGAGCTCGCCAGAGGCGTGAGGGGCGGGAGAAGACTCGGGGGTCTGCTGTCCTGGATGCGGGCCCCCTGTGTGATGCCAGAAAGAAAAAACGCGGAAAGCCGATTGTGCAATTCCTGAAGCGTTTGCTGCTGCTGTTTTTGCTGCCTCGTGAGGGTGTAGAAGAATTTCAGGGTCGAGTCCCGATGCGTCTCCGTTGAAGAGGACAAAGCACGGCCTGTTATGCGCTGCTGCGACGGCTGGTGCTGCTGGTGTTGAAGCACCCTTGTCGCCTTGAGAATCATCGAGACGCTGCAGAAGACGGAGTTGAGAAGGAGAAGAAAGCGGCAGCCGCAGCAGCTCCTGGCGTTGGTGCGCATGCTTCGCCGGGGGGGTCTTCAAGGGTGCCCTCCGCGGGGCTAGCCGTGCCTCTGCACCCGTGCAGAGGCTCTGCAGCAAGAACTGTAGCAACACAAGCAGCAGCAGTAGCAGCGGAATGATTGGAGACACTGCTGCACGAGCACGCCATCTTGTCCCTGTTTCTGCTGAAATACTTGGCGGGGTTGTGCGTATGCTGTTGGTTCTCCTTTGGCTGTTGCTACTATCGCCGACAACGCAACTAATGCGGGACTGCCTCTTGGACCACCTCAACGGCAGGTGGGGCCTGTTGGAGGCGACATTTGTGGGATCGCACACTGCTTCCATGGCTTCTTAGTGGTGAGAGGCCTTGAACTTATGCACCGCAAAGGCAGCTGAGGCCCTGAGGCCCTGGCCTGGTCTCTGCCGATACTTTATTCAGTTCGCAGCACAGACAAGGTGGAGAGAGGCAGTAGGTGCATACTGGAGGTGCTAGAATCACATGCTGGTGCTCCAACGGGTGCAGCAGCAGCTGCTGCCGCTGCTGCGACGTGAAGACACTGCAACGGTAGTCTGGAGCAGCAGCAGCGGCGGCAGCGGCGGCTGCCCCAGCAGTCAAAATGCGCACTGTAAATGCTTAGAGGAATTGGGGAGAGTAAAGCCTGGGTAGAGAAAAGGGGATCAATGCTTATTTTTGTAGAACCCAACACACGGAGAGGTAAGTGTGGGGCCACAGAGGAGCTACTCAGATACCTGGGGCAAACAGATCAAGGCAGATCCGGTTAGCATGAAGGGAAGGAATTGAATTAAGTTATTGCCGTAATACACGAAGTTTGATAAAGGAAGTTCACATGCGCTGTACAAAGCTTGCAGCGCCGCCGACTGTTTGAGTGAGGCCCCAGCTGTACAGGGTACCATCGACCTCCTGCCTCAACAAGGGGAGGGTGGATGATCAAAGTAATACTGAGCCTATTTTAGTTTATTCAGCTTTTCACTTGATCCTATTTTTCGCACATAATCGCGAGACTAACTGCGGTGGATTACCACACTACAGAAAATGCAAACGAGAGCAGCAGCAGCTTCCTGCCACGCTTGGCCGGTTGCAGCACTTGTTTCCTTCTGTTTTTTCTTGGTATATTTTCTGTAACATAAGTGCAAAACAATAACAATGGTTTAAGACACGGTTAGCTGAAGCATGCCTAAGCAAAACTTCCGATTGTCTGAACTCCACAGACCACCGCAAAGGGACAATAGCTTAAGCAGACTTCGTAGATGAATAGTTCCATGTCACAGTGGCTGCGTGCGTCGGCTAGCCGGCCCACTGTAGCCAAACAGGACGAGAATTGCTCTCAACAACTTCTGTTATCACTCCTAAAGTACTACGACGTACTGCTACTACTGCACTCGCCCAAGAAATACAACTACTTGATTAATCACATTTAAAACTGCAGCTGTAGGCCCAATTAAAAGGAACTGGGGGGGCCCCAGCACATCTAAACTCCAAATCATAAACCAAAGGAACTTAACACAAAAAAGCCGCTCGGCGATGGTCCGACCCTGTTTACGTGTGGCCCCCAAAAATGCAGGGGAAGCGGAGGTAGGCCAACGCCGCTTTTCCCCCTCTGCTATACAGCAACTACAGAAACTGTGCAAAGCAGCAGAAATTGGAGCACTAAAAAACTACCAAGTAGTCAGGACTAGTTTGGAGATTTCTCAATTGCCACTAGACAGAAAACAATAAACGCAGAGCGCAAGGAGGGTTAGGTTATGTTGACCCCTCTCCATCATCACCGCTGGAGGAGTTGTAGTCCCCTAAAAGCGATGAGCAGTCCCCTGAGAGCTCAGGCTGCGGCTTCTTAACAACCAGCAGCTTCGGTGCTGCAACGCGCACTCCCAGACCAAAATCCAAAACTTTGCTTGTGCCATCAAGCGAATTCAAGCCGCCAAGCGAAGATCCCCCCCGAGAAGAACCACTGCGTCCCCCATCCCCAACGCTGTTCGCGGATAGATTCGTGCTTGTTGTGCACGAACTGCTGATGCTCGCTCGTCTATCCACAAGGCCGCCGCCGCTGCTGCTGCTATTACTGCTGGTGCTGCTACTACTACTACTACTACTGCTACTTGTAGATGAGGTGCCGGTTGTGCTGTTCGCTGGTTCCGAAACGTCTGCCTCGGCAGCCTGGTGATCCTTCCTTTCTTCGATTTCCTCTTCTGAAGATTCTGCAGTGAGGAAACACACAAGCACACGAAAAGAGGAAAGTCTAACCCCGTGTGAACGTTGAGAAATCCAGCTTTCTTGATGTGCCTACAGAGCAGGCCCCTACATCATCTAGCCGTCCAACCCACCTCCCCCAGAAAAAGGGGGGGAAAGCAATAATAACATTAACCCTAAACCCTAACCCTAACCCTAACCCTAATAACATCAGCTAGAGATATGAACGAGCGCCAACAGAGTCTTGACCGCATTAAGAAGGGTAGCGAGGAGACGCGTTGGCTTACGAGGATCGGAGTCGAATTCCCTGGCCGCTTTAAAGTAACGTAGTTCATCCTTTTCAACTTCCGTCCACTCTTGCGTAGTTTCCGCCCCCTCTGCGCCTTCGTTGATGCGTCGCTCCTTAAGAAAAGCCAATGCTGCGTCTGAAGCCGCTGTTTTGTCCAGCAGACGGCGGTTGAGGCGGCGCAGTTCCGCCAGCTGCTCAAGCGCCAGTATCTCCTGTTGCAGGCCCTGACGCGAGGCCTCCACCTGAGAAATGCGGTCGGTTGCCAGCTTCTCCTCCTGAACACGCAGCACAAGAAGGCCAGTGAACGAACGAACGACGCATGAGCGGCAAGCATGCATACGTGACTACACCGGGAAAATGCATGCTGCGATGCACATGGGGGAGGACAAACGGCCTCGCATTGGCGATAAATGAAGTTGCAGTTACTGCAAATGCCGTGCGCGCTTCCTTTCAGTTGAAACATAGAAGCATAGCCAAACAATTAGATAAGAAGCTTACCTCTTCTTTCTGCATACGCTCCTCAGCTAACGCCTGATCACGCAATGGGTCACACATCCTGGTGCCGCCCCACTCTAAGACGTAGTCGCAATTCTGCGGATCTGTGACACAGAACACGTGAAATTCAAATCAACGAAACATATTCAAATACCATGAAAACCTACATACCGACCACAAAACATAAATGCAGGCCAAGAAAACAAACAAGCAGTAAAGGAGGCGGCAAAGGAACCCAAAGGCAAGAGACGAACCAAGAAGTGACAGACGAGTCGAAGCGAAGGCATACAACAACACGGCAAGCAAATCCGAAATGGAAACATGGAGAAAGATAATGAATCAAAAACACAGGAAAGATACCACATTAAAACTCATTCAAAACTTGGGCGAAAGCTGCTGAACTAACAACGAAATGGAGGCGTTCGGTTTGCTCAATCACCACGCCAGCAGGGCAGCATAATAGTATTAAATACTATTTACTATTAGACTACAAATGTCTACGAGGAGGAGCTGATGAGAAGGTGGGCGAAAGTAAAGGAGTTCCTGACCAGTTTTGAAGCAAATATCAGCTCGGCACTGCGGACAGCGTCCGTAGAACCGCCACTTGATTATTCCTAAATAATCTTCCCCCTGATATTCACATCAAAACAAGAAAAGCAACGGAAAGGCTCATGAGCACGATACTCCCTAAAAGAAAGACAAAACAAATTCAACGTCAAAATGGGGATGAATGGCCTCTAACAGCGAGAAAGACAGTGACAGTAAATGGATCATCTTCCCACGTCTGTTGCCCACGTCAGAAGGTGATCTGGAGTATGCCTGTGCTTAATTTAGTAAAATTACCTCAACTTTCTCGACTCTGGAGTTGAATTTGGTGCCGACATATATATACTCATTGCAAGTTCCGCATCTGAGCGTGAAAGGGTACATCATGCGGACATTCATAACTTTGTTTTTGTGTTTTTTCTGCGGCGGATCGAAGACATCTCCTCTGCGTCTTTTCAGCTGCTGTTGTTGAATTCGAAGGACTTTCTTTTTGGCCTGTAATTTGTCGAAATCGAAATCAGGCGGGTAATATTTCACAAGAACCTTCCGGTCCGCCATTTTGCCTGCGCCTGCTGGTGATCTACGCTGCTGCTGCTGCTGTTGGTGACCTTTCGAGGCTCTTTACACGCGCTGTCCTGCAATTTGAGGGGACAGAGAAGTCAAATAAACTTGTCCTTCCTTTCTTACGAATCAAAGAGCCCCCGCCGGCAACTGGGAAGCTCCATGCCCCAGAAACCGCGGCCTCTGGCGCTGCCGACACAAATTAGGCTTGGAATTCGAAAATAAATAAGAAACTTTGTGTCTATGAAATACAATCTAGAAGGGAATGGTCTAAAGCATTTTGCATCCTGGCTTCTTCACCGTCCATCGGGCATTTCGGGCTGAGCCCCAGCGCATGCAACTGGACTCCAAGTTACCTGAGTGGCTGCTAAAAGCTTTGTTGCTGAGGAATCAGCCCATTGAAGTCCTTCGTGCTTCAATTTTCATTTAATTTTGCCTCGATTTGCTTAAACCTGGTGCATGCACTACCAGTGCTAGACTGGTGTCCGCCTCACCACTGCCCGTCTTCTGTTGAGGTTAGCTTGGGAGAGCAGCAGCAGGGAAATTCTTCAGATTCCCACTTCTTAGTGCTTTATTTCTCCTTATGTTATGCTATAGTAAGCATTTGGAGGGTGCACAAGACTAGAGCCGGTTGGCGTCCAGCCTCGAGGTCTCAAAGTGTCCTCATTGCACGACTCTCATCCTCGGCACCACGGCAAATACCCCTGCATCTGTCGCGCTGGAAATGCGCAGAAAGCGCTGAGAGAGCAATGAACAACTTGGGGAGGTTTCGCTTGATTGTTCCAGCGGCAAATGCAAAGCCCTCACCGTCCATTGGGCAGACGCTGGGCCCACTGGGTTAGTGTAATCTGTGCCATCTTCTTCTCTTTCTCTCAGTCATTCTGTTGTATCTTGCTTTGCTTCAGGATCAGCTATCATAGAGTGGATGCTGTTGGTTTCTCTGCGCAGGCTGCAGGAACGGTACAAGTGTTCGCTGTGCTGCTTTGTGTCTGCAGGCATTAACATGATGGCATTCTGCAAGGAATTCAACGCGAGGACATCTAAAGTACGGCCTGGTGTCCCTGTGCAGGTCACCATCGTGCCCAACCCCGACCGGTGTGTGAGCCTCGCTTGTTGCAGCGTTGCAGAGTTATATTCCTGCAGCAGTGTCTCAGTTTGCTGAAATAACATACCTAGAAAATACACACAAAGTATACGGATGGCACTGCGATTTCTATAATGTGTGTATTTTGTATTTCAGAACTTTCAAATTCAGCCTCCGCACGCCCAGCAGCACCTGGTTTCTGTTGAGAGTGGCGAGATGTCCTATGGGCAGTGAGCACGCGGGAAAGGAAATAGTGGGAAATGTGACACTTAAGGAGGTAACCATAAAGAATATATTTTGTGCTCATGTCATAGTGTTCCTTTCGTCACATAATGCGAACAACAGCAATTTGCTGTGGGCATGCCTTCTGATCATGTGTCGATTAATACGTTCTTATGTTCGTTGCTTGTGCACGCAGATATATCACATAGCGAAGTGCAAAAGTATGGACTGGCCTCTTATTGGGCATTCTCTGCAAGGCATATGTTGTTCTCTCATTGGATCAGCCAAAGCTATGGGTATTCAGGTAGCCCTTCTAGCAGTTATACCAATGCCATGTTTTGATTGTTCCCGGTTTACCAGTAGCAGCACTGTTTTCACATGCAGCGTGTTTTCCACATTTATTTACGAATATATGCAGATCCATGCGTGTATGTATGTCACGCGCCACTAAGGAACAGCCCATATTCCATAAGCTTGAGCACAAGTCGAATTCTGCAGTCCAGTGTGTGGGGGCGAGCAGACGGCGCGCGTTTTGCCTGGTAAACCAGTATATTACCTTCTGTTCTCCTGTGTTCAGGTGACCCCTCAGCTCCTGCCTGCTTTTAGCAAGCGGGATTATACCCCAGTAGAAGATTTGGAGCAAATGCGGAAAGACTTGAGACAAAGGCGCAAGGCAGCGAGGAGAGCCAGCGCGAAGGCATAGGCGCAGTCACGATTAACCATACATTCCGCGCGTGTAGAACTTGTAGAGCATACAAAATATAAGTATATATGGTTTGTAAAAGTGCTGTAGGCATAATAGCTTCGTAGTGGCGCATCGTGTGTAGGACCGTGTACAGAGCTTATAAAGTTTATAAGCGGTTTTATTTTGTTTCGATAATGCGCTGTCCTGACAGCTGGTGCCCAACTCACTAACCCCATCATAACTCCCAAAGATTTTTGCTGTAAAAACCGGCCCCGAACCTGTTTAGTAGCTGTCGTGAGATTCAACACAGTAGTTCAGTTCGAGCACAACAGCTTTTATCTGGTCAATCGACCGGCTTCCTGCTTGCAGAAGCAGTTTATTCAGGCGGGAGACAGACTGTGTCAGGGCGGCATCGTGGCAACGTCACTCTAAAGCATACCCGGCCCCCTACTGGTCAATGCACTAAGACGTCAGACACTATTTATTTAGCAATGAGTCTATTCATCCGCCAGCCGGCATGCACGTAGCACTTTCTGCACTACGTGTCCTATCCGGCCTTTACCGGGCTTCGATGTTGACTTTTATTCTATCCCCCCACTTCATTCATTGTGTCCTTAATGATATTCCTTTAGGGATACTCGAAGGAATCTGAAGCGCCAACAGCGCTGAAAACATAGCTAGTGGCCTGATGGGGTTGGCGGGGGTAAGCCAGCGACAACAAGAATTCGGAACTCTAAGATCAGTATTGGCTTCTGGTGGGCATATTCTGATGCACGTTTATGCCTTTAAGCGCGTTTTAATGCACTTAAACACTTTCACTCACAAAAGAGCCCGGCGATTTAGGGTGCTCTATAGCCCGGCAGCCGTTATACATGGAGGAAAGGTAGACGCCGTACTGTGCGTAACCTTCGGCGCCCAACGGATTAAAATGTTTAATTGAATAAGAAAACAGGCAAGAAATATGAAAATAAACATATGTGAATAGATCGCCTCACAAAAGCAAGCGACGGCGCCGGAGTTGTTGGGGTTGCGTTGCATCTTTGACGCTGCATGGCAGCGACTCGATCGGTCGTGCCCTTGAGCAAAGGCTGCAAAGCTGCGCTGTGTTCTTCCCTTTATTTACATACTAATGAATGCATTTCTTTTGCCCTTGGGAACGCTCGTTTGTTGCTGGTTTTTTCTTATTCAGCTCAAACTCTAGGGGGCCCTGCACGCAGATTTCCCGATGTTTGAAGACGCTTGCGTTCCCGCTGGACAACGGGGCGAGTTGTGTTCGGCATTTTGTTAACTGCAACAAAAATAAACTCTATGGTCTTAAGAGATAGGGAAGGCTTGCTCACCGCATTCTTGATGGCCCCCTAGAGTGCCTATGCCGGCACACGCAGCAAGCGAGCATAAGCTGTTGGTCCTTCTAAAGAAGACATAACCAAAGGCGCTCTCGAGTTCGCTAAACAGACATACAAGACGCTGCTATGGCGTCAGCGAAGAGGCGAATAGCCAGAGGCGCAGAGCTGGCAGCATGCGTGGCCCTGTGGTTGCTGTCGCCCGCAGGCGTCGCAGCCGCAGGCGGCTGGGGGACTTGGGATTTGCAGCAACATCAACAAGCAGGGGCAGCAGCAGCACGCGCTGCTGCCCCGCGCTCGGTGGCGACTCTGACTGCGAGTGGAAATTTGTGGGGCCAGGACTTGGGTGTGCCCGGTTATGAGGGCGACCATCAGCCAGTGCCGTACGCACGTGGGAACACGATATTGGGGGACTCGACATTGAATGTAAAAGATATTTCATTTCCACATCAGGCCTCGCCGAGGAGCTCCTTTTTTCCAGTTGTTGGAAATGCACTGCACGGCTTCCAGCACGTAGACACCGCAGCGCCGGCGCAGCAGCACCAACAGCAGCATATGACACTGGCGGATTTCCCAATCGAGGTGGAGTCGCAACATACTGATGCGATGGGATTGGGAGTGGAGAATGTGCGGCGGGGGTTGCAGCTGGATGCGAAGGGCTCTCTGTTGCAGGTTTTTGTCAATTTTTTCAAAAAGCCACGCCTCTTCAAGTTGCTTGTTTTCGCTGCTGTCATGCTCACAACGTTCTTCTTCGTCGGGATATTCGCCCGCATTGCGCAGTTCGTCTTCGGCATCTGGGCAGCGTTGAAGGTGCTGCAGCTGCTAGAAGAAGATGATGTTCCAGGAAAAGGGCCTAACCCAACACAGTTTAGCAACGCACGCCATCCAGCACACACCATGGAGTGACCGTGTTCCCACAAGTACTGCTGCTGCTGCTGCTGCTGCTGCTGCTGCTGCTGCTGCAGAAGCAGCAGCAACATCGGCATCGGCGGCAGCAGCAGGAGCTGGTGCTAGTGACGTGCAGTAACATCTGTTACTAGCTAGGACCCACCATCTCACGGCAGCATTTGTTCGGGTGGAGCGTTAGGGTTTCCTGCAACAACTCAAGCCGGTTTGCTGCTGCTGCTACCGTTGCAGTCATTGCACAGCGGCGTTGCTGCTGACCGAAGCCAGTAGGTATTGCCTTTTTCAACTGACGAGCCCGTTCCCTCTGACACCCCATGGCTGGCTGATCAGCGATGGCAGAGGCGGTGCGGAGATGCTTTTTAGAAAGTAGTTGCTGCGAAACCAGAAAAGACAAAGCCCGCAGTTGCCGCTGCTGTGCAACTGCAGTCGCCTACGGGGATTTTTGTATTCTTCTGTGGGGCCATCTGGCTTACACCAACCAGCTTTCGCGGTTCAAGTATGTTAATATATATAGCCGCTCTACATATTCCTCCCTGTTGCACACACAATGAGAATTGCAACATTCAACAGAGAAATCAATAAGCAAACAAATAGACGCAAGACGGGTCAGGGCAGCGGCTCAGGTCGGACCGTACACACACGCGGCCGACATTGAACTCTGGATATATATATATATATATATATATA